TCGACCTGCTGAGCTCAAGTGATCCTTCCACCTCAGCCTTCTGAGTAGCTAGAACTACAGGCGGGCGCTACCATGCCCGGCTAATTTTTTGATTTATTGTAGAGATGAGGTCTTGCCAAGTTGCCCGGGTGGGTCTTGAACCTGCGGGCTCAGGCAATCCACTCACCTCAGCCTCCCAAAGGCGCGGGATTACAGGCAGAGCCAACAAACCCGACTTAGAATTCTTTTTTTTTTATTCTTTTTTTTTATTAATCAATATTTTTTATTATGGTTTTGTGGGGTACAGTTAAGGGTTAGGTGTACAATTATGTTTCATTCAGGCACCCTGTTGATAAGAGGTGTTTTCCCATCCCCAGACAGATATTTGCTACTGTTAATCCCATCCCCCTCCCCCCCTAGAATTCTTATAATTATATAAAATTGATCTATAAAGTAGTGTTGAATGTTAACATGCAACCATTTGTACCAGTGTATTTGATGCCTATTTTATTTTTTTTAATTTATTTATTTATTTTGAGTTGGAGTCTCACTCTGTCGCGCAGACTGGAGTGCAGTGGCTGCTCCCGGCCACCGCAGCCTCGACCTGCTGGGTTCTGCCGATCCTTCTGCCTCAGCCTTTCAAGTAGCTGGAACTACAGGCGCATGCTACCACGCCCGGCTAATTTTTGATTTATTGTAGAGAAGAGGTTTCGCCAAGTTGCCCAGGCGGGTCTCGAACCTGCGGGCTCAGCCAATCCACTCACCTCAGCCTCCCAAAGGCGCGGGATTACAGGCTGAGCCACCGAACCCAGCTTATTTTTATTTATGTATTTATTTATGTATTTTTTTTTTTTTTGAGTTGGAGCCTCACTCTGTCGCCCAGACTGGACTGTAGTGGCCACTCCCGGCCACCGCAGTCTCAACCTGTTGGGCTCTGGCGATCCTTCCACCTCAGCCTTCCAAGTAGCTGGAACTACAGGCGGCCGCTACCACGCCCGGCTAATTTTTTGATTTATTGTAGAGATGAGGTCTCGCCAAGTTGCCCAGGTGGGTCTCGAACCCGTGGGCTCAGGCAGTCCACTCACCTCAGCCTCCCAAAGCATGGGATTACAGGCTGAGCCACTGAGCCCGGCTATGTATTTATTTTTGATTTGAAGTCTCATTCTATCGCCCAGGCTGAAGTACAGTGGCACACTCAATGCACCGCAGCCTTGTCCTTCAAAATAGCTGAAACCACAGGCGTATGCCACCAAGCCCGGCTAGTTTTTGTTTTCTGGGACTTTTAAAAATAGTAGTCTCAGTCTGTCATCCAGGCTGGAGTGCAGTGAGTGGCACGCTCATAGCCTCCGCAGTCTCGACCTGCTGGACTCAGGTGATCTTTCTGCCTCAGCCTTCCAGGCAGCTGAAACTATAGGCACATGCCACCACGCGAAGCTAATTTTTTGATTTATCGTAAAGATGAGTTCTCTCCAAGTTACCCAGACTGGTCTTGACTCCCTGGACTCAGGCAATCCTCTCACCTTGGCCTCCTAAAGTGCTGGTATTACAGGCTTGAGCCACCGTCACCGACTATTTTATTATTATCTTTTTTTTTTTTTTTTTGAATTGGATTCCCACTCTGTTGCCCAAACTGGACTGCAGTGGCCGCTCCCGGCCACCACAGCCTTGACCTCCTAGG